AAGTCTTCAGCTACTTGATTACTCACTCCTCTATCAAGACCGGGTCTTTATTCCTAAGTCTTCAGCTACTTGATTACTCACTCCTCTATCAAGACCGGGTCTTTATTCCTAAGTCTTCAGCTACTTGATTACTTACTCCTCTATCAAGACTGGGTCTTTATTCCTAAGACTTCAGCTACTTGATTACTCACTCCTCTATCAAGACCGGGTCTTTATTCCTAAGACTTCAGCTACTTGATTACTTACTCCTCTATATCAAGTCTGGGTCTTTATTCCTAAGTCTTCAGCTACTTGAATACTCACTCCTCTATATCAAGTCTGGGTCTTTATTCCTAAGTCTTCAGCTACTTGATTACTTACTCCTCTATATCAAGTCTGGGTCTTTATTCCTAAGTCTTCAGCTACTTCATTACTTACTCCTCTATATCAAGACCAGGTCTTTATTCCTAAGTCTTCAGCTACTTGATTACTTACTCCACTATATCAAGACCAGATCTTTATTCCTAAGACTTCAGCTACTTAGTTACATACTCCTCTATCAAGACTTGGGAAGGTGATTGTTCATTCACATTTTGTCACATCAGATTTTTCAACTCTCTCATGGACTATTATGGATAAAGCTGGCATCAGGGAAGTGACTGCCTACTTCTTTGACTCGTGCTTGCCTCAAAATAACTTCATTCTTAGATGAGGCAAGAAGAAAATGCAGCAGAATTGGGAAGTAGGAGTAGGAAGGTGAGCTGAGGTATCTATTGGAAATACATTTTTAGGTAAGGAAATTAAATTCTAAAACGATACATCACCTCTTCTCCCAGAATAGCTAGAATCCTACATTGAAATGGTGGTGGGGCCAGTGCAAATATTAAACCTATATGAAAGTGCCTGAAGCGAAAGCCCATGGAGTGTGACACCCGATTGCAGGGTTTCCATAGATGCCCACCTGTGGGAGACTGTATCTTGTCTCGACTAGGGTAAACTTTTCACCTGGAAGGAAACAGAGGGAAAGACAAAAGAGCTCTTGGTGTTGCAGAGAGGCAGGATGACAAAATTTTCCTGCTGCAGGAGGAGGGCCCACTAACTGTTTGAGGAGTGACCCATACTACACAGACAGTTACATCACCGTCCTACTTCTCACTGTATTGTGCTGTACTTAATCAGCGAGGAATTCTCTAAGGTCCACCATCCCAGTGACTAGAAACTGTTAAGTCACGAGGGTCCACTTGAAGAAGGGGAAGAAAATTTGCAATGGGAAGAGCCAGAGACCCAGGATGCCTGCTGGAAAGGTCTTTCATTGGAGAGAGTGCAGTGGGTGACCGTGAAACCCTATTTTTAAAAGTTAATGATAGCCCTCCACCAATAGGAGGGCAACATATCCTCCTTGCACCATGATGATGTCATCATGCACTAGTGCAATTCATGTTAAATAAGTGATTTTTAGGTGGGAGTGTTACTGGCATGCAAATTTTATTGGCAGATGCAGGAGGGGTCAAATTGTTCTGTTGAAGAGATGAATACCTTTTCAGGTAAGGAAAATGTTAACATTCATATTTCCATTTCTGTACAGCTGCACAGTTTTGCCTGTAAACAAAACAACCTGCTTGTCGTTTTTTTTTAAATTTTTCTGTCTATTTCAAGAATATCTTTTTGTTAAGAATATATTATCTTTTTCTTGATTTTCAGATGTTTCCCTTAATTTTTGTACAGGCCTTGGTTGAAACCTTGTTTGGTGCAACATCAGGTGGTTTGATCATTAGCTGATTAAACACGGCTTTCAAAACAGCTAGTTGTAAAGTTTAAATATGATTGGATAGTGCAAGAATTAGACTATCGTATAATACTATATATAGATTTAAGAGTTTGTTTTTTTTATGGTCTCTGTGAATGTTCCTCTCAGTTCCTTTTCTTTTGTAAATTGTAACAAAGTAACAAATATTCAATTCTTGGAGAAGATTTTATCAAGTGGTTTACCTAGACACAGGAATGCACACATACACACAGAGCTTGAAACAAAGAAGTCACGTGACTGGAGATTGTTTAATACAAGTTTCTTGTTGTTTAGTTCTATATTAAGTTGAAGTACTTTTACACACAAGATTTTTTATTATGTTCAACAAAAAACAATCATCATATCCAATAAACTTAGTTAAGTTCACTGTTTTGTAAATATGGTAGAAGATTACAAAATGTTCTGATAACTTGGATTGTTATGAAGTATTATTTTTGTGTTTATCCTATTCAATGTACTTGGATAAGTTGGCTTCTCAATACTTAATTATTTTAATTTCAATAGTGATAATGTTTAAATATAAACATCATTAATGTTAACTTTATGTATCCAACAACTTTACAAGTAGGTCTGTTTTATTCTAAACTAGAAATCTTTTCTCCAAATGTATTATCTCTATGTTATGGTTGAAAAAAAATTGGATTGATGATTTGTCCTAACTTCGATCACATGAATGTAGTAATTTTTGTTCAAAGGTGTGGGAGATGCTACTGCAGCTGTATTGCACATTGTTGCTTATCTAGGTGTGGCAGATACTACTGCAGCTGTATTCCACATTGTTGCTTATCTAGGTGTGGCAGATACTACTGCAGCTGTATTCCACATTGTTGCTTATCTAGGTGTGGCAGATGTTACTGCAGCTGTATTCCACATTGTTGCTTATCTAGGTGTGGCAGATCCTACTGCAGCTGTATTCCACATTGTTGCTTATCTAGGTGTGGCAGATACTACTGCAGCTGTATTCACATTGTTGCTTATCTAGGTGTGGCAGATCCTACTGCAGCTGTATTCTACATTGTTGCTTATCTATTTTGATTATAACATTTCCCTTGTGGGATTCTCAGATTACTCTGATATCTCTCATAGTATCCTGCAGTCAAGTTTAAACACCAAGATAATTACTTATAATTAGCTAGAGAGATAGGATTTTACTGTAGTTGTGCTACAGAGAGTCTTTATGCATGAAAGATAGTGCAGTCAGGCAAACAAGTAATTTTTCTGATCATTAAAAAATGGAAAACATTATAATATATATATATATATATATACAAGGTTTTCTTTTCTTAGGCACACGCACTATTTACATGAGAGGGGACCACTCTGTTTTATTGTTTTTGACAGACAACATATTCAAGATTACCAACAATCTTTTGAAGTCGTGACTCCCAACGTTTTTTTTTTATTGTGTAATGATTAGAGCTGGCTGATTAGTGGAATTTGCTAATTGATTAATCATAGGGCTCATTAACGTTTTCTTTATGGAGTCGGTCGATATGACTGATCGTGTAACCATCTGTAACTTTCATATTTCTTTTATTATGTCTTCATGAAATTTGGCAAGCTTTCAGTAGACAATAGAAGTATCTTGTACACAAAAAGTCAAGTATTTGTATAAAAATATTAAAGTATTAAGATATACGGAGTCAAGAGTGTTGACTGTTCTAAGTGCAAAGTGATTTTCATATTAAGAATAAAAATACTTTTCTTCATTTAAAAGTTTTCAAATTTCATTTAAATAGTCTCAGTAAAATTTTGTATTTTATCTATTATTTTCTCTACCCTAACTCTATATGGACTCGGTTGATTTTAACAACCTTGTAGCCACCATAAAAATACAAATAAATCTAAGTTACCCCTTTTATTTCTAGAATGACTGCATATTGTAACAGGAAACTACAACTGTTTATCCTAAATAGTTTAAAGCATGAAACAGTATAAATCATACCTTTGAACCATCTCTAACTAATAATCCCACTACACAAGTTGCAAATCACTTGTTGAACATGTAATTCAAGTTACTGTATAGAATAGTGTAATGCACAAGCTGCAAGCATACCTCATGAACAATTTTTATAATTTTTTTCATTATTTTATGTAATCTAACCCAATAAGTCTCCAATTCTTACATTTTAGTTTCTTAATTTAGTTAGTTAATAAATAACGAATACCCACAAAAATAAGAAACATAGTACATGTCTTTGATCTCTTGTTTTTTTGCTGTAAGTTTCAGATGAAATTTAAGCCTAATTTTTTTATACTAGTGGTACTAGTTTACTAAATTTTGATTTACTTAAATAATGCATCTAAGAACATAGAATAATAATGCATACAAAGCAAACAATTTACTATAACTATCATAATATAACTGGCTTTCTAACTATGGCGTAAAAGCTTTAAAATAATTCCTAAAATTTCTTGATCTGAATGCCACAGGAGAAGGTTTCAAACTGAAGGTGAAATAGACAATACTTTGTACTGAAAACAGCATAATATAATATATCATTTCATAGATTTAAATTTTGCTTTTCTATTGGATATAAATAATATAGTATAAAACATCAGAACTATTGGCAATTTGTGAAAGACAGGATGTGAAAAGTTGGTGTGGCAAGTAGGCCTGATTTTCTAGTTCATGATTCCATAAACAAATAAGATTGAAGGCAATAACAATTAGACTTTGACTTAGTAATACCTATATTATAAAAAATAATTTATGTTAAATTCTGTGCTTCAGAGAGGAATGATAAATAAATTGGAAAAGGGAGAAGATCTGGAAAATAAATGTCACAATTCTCAAACTAGATATTGGGGATTGGGGATTTTTTTAAATATTTCTTTATAAAATTAGGAACTTAAAACATATTAAAACTTGATTTGATATCTACATTTTGATGGCAAGTTTGTTCATCTCCATTGATAATAAAGTAGTTTAATTAACTTTTGAATGCAAATCTGTAAAAGGTTGTGACATTGACCTACGCATGGGTTAATTGATTACATTCAACCAATTGATTATTATGGGTTTATTGCCTCTAAGCCCTCTCATCCTTACTAGATAATTGTGTCGCATTTTTCATCAAACATTATGTTAGAAAAAGAACAAATTGTACTGCTGCTTGTAAAAAAATTGTAACAGTTGAAGAATTTTCAAATTTATCATTTATTTCCATTTACTTATTTGTTTCTTTGAAGGAAAATTCTAACTTAATATCTTAAATTTTTTTCTTTAGTTCTGTGAATCTCATATTCAATTTAATTTGCATGGCGTTCTTTTTGACAGTTTAATTATCAATATTTACTTAAATGCAAGTTTGCATCAATTCTTGTGGTCCCCTGGTGGGACAGCGGTAAGTCTTCGGACTTACAACGCTAAAATCAGGTGTTCATTTTCCCTCGGTGGACACAGCAGATAGCCCAATGTGGCCTTGCTATAAGAAAACACTCACAATTCTTGTGTAAACATACACACTTAAGAAATTTATAGAATACAGAAAGTTAGTAGTCGATGATATTCTGGTATGCTACGTGTTATATATATATATTTTATTTTTTCTTTATATTTGAGCAATTTAATTTTTTTTAACAGATACAGAATTGTCAGCTTCCTGCTATTTGGTCAGCTGGTTCAAGGACTTGTATATCAGGATTGTGTGCTGTATTACGATGGTCTTTAAAAACTCAATTAAAAATTGAAAGATCAAGTATCTGTAAAGAGCTTTTGGTATGTATTGAACATCCTAAAGAATTTGTTTTAAAATTTAGTTTTATAAACACTAACCTGTTTGATTAAAGAATTTTCTGCATGGTACAATGGGTTTGAATAAAGTTCTATATGCAGTACTATACAAACATTAGATACTACTAAAAAATCACAAAGTATGTTCATTTCAAAACATCCTAAGTTTCTTTTAGTGCAGGTATTTGAAGGTAAAATAAACATGTAAAGCAAGTTTAGAATTTATTTCTTTAATACTTCTTTGTGAGCACACTTAGCTAAAAGCACTGCCTGAAATCTCGATGAGTAATGTTTTACTCAAGCTTTAGGAGATGCTCAGTTCCTTCTTTGGTTTTGGCCCACAATGTTGTTAGGGTGCTTGACTCGCAATCCCTGTCCCATCAAACATGCTTGCCCTTTCAGCTATGTGGGCATTATAATGTGACAGTCAATCCCACTATTCATTGGTAAAAGAGTAGCCCAAGAGTTAGTGGTGGGTGGTGATGACTAGCTGTCTTTCCTCTAGTTTTTCACTGCTAAATCAGGAATGACTAGTGCAGACAGCCCTTATGTAGCTTTGCACAAAATTCAAAACAAACCAAACCAATACTTCTTTGGTTTTGGCAGCCTCTGCTGTTTTTCTCACACAACAATTTACGTTCTGGAGCACTAAGCATGTAGAGTTCCATTTGTTTTTTTTTAACCAAGATACTATTTTACTCCATTCATTGTGTATTTACATTATTCTCACTTTTCCACTAAACAACATCCTGAATGAATATTTGCTTATATCAGTATGGATCAGCAAATCCAATTGTGGCTAAGCAGACTTGTTTGCTACTTCCACCAAAGGTGCCCGGCATGGCCAGGTGGTTAAGGCACTCGACTCGCAATCTGAGGGTCGCAGGCTCGAATCCCTGTCACACCAAACATGCTCGCCCTTTCAGCCAATGGGGGGGCATTGTAATGTGATGGTCAATCCCACTATTCGTTGGTAAAATAATTCTAAAACAAACAAACAATCCACCAAAGGCTGTAGACAATTTTCCTTTAATCTCTTACCACTTCTACAGCAGACGTTCTGGTTCCACAGATCTTGGACTTTGACTCATCAGACCAAAGTACTCTTCTCAATGTAGAATTCAGCCAATTTTTGGGTGATTTTGATAAACTTAAGACTCTTCTGTATGTAGCCTTTCCTCCACAAATGTTTTCTATATAAAGCTGTTACACTACATTTTATTTCATCAGACACTGTGTATCTTGGACCCACATTTCATATTTGAAAGTAGAACAGTCACATTGGAGTCACAGACTAAAGAAAAATTTCATCTTTTTTTTTACAGTAGAAAATAATAACTCTAACATTAAAGGAAAATTTTTTTTGCTTTTACAATATAAAATTTAGAAATTTGTAGAATGCTATTTATTATTTATTTAAACCAAGTACATGATATGGGAGGTGTTTAAATTAACTAAATAATTGTTTTTAGATAACTATATTTCAACCCCAGAACACCTTTTCTCAGAAGACTGAATAGTGGTCTCTAATTTATGCACAGTAGTATATTTATATGTTTATTATTAAATGTTAGTAAATTCTTATTCACACAAGATATGAACTACATATTTTTTATTTGCTTCATTTTATTTTCTTGAGAATATTGATCATTTTTTAATGATATATGAGTGTGTGATAATAATAATAACAATGATATGTGAGTGTGACTGACTTCATATGTATATTTCATAACTTAAGCTTTTCTTTGGACTTCGTTAGGCCTTGCTGTACAAACCTACAGCTAAGAAAAGTAATTTTTGATACTCAGAGTGGGACATAAGATTATTGTCTAATTCTGTCAAATAAATATGGTAGTTGTCTATTCTGTATTAAAATCATTAAGTCTTTCGTTGTTGTACATAAATTTTTTTCTATATTTCAATTTTTCTTTTAATTGCTCTAATCTGGTTAAAACAGATCCAAAATTAATTTCAGATTTTGTAATTATGCTATAAAAATATTTCAGAGTTTTATAATAAACAGCTATTGTTTAAACTTTTTACTTCTGCATTCTTAGATTATTTTTACTTGTTCGTGGTTCATTTACTTAAAACAAAGGAAAGTAAAGAAACGAAAATTGTATTCAGTTTTGTTATTGTTAATAAGATATATGTTGTTGGATTTCTTGAAATATAATTTTCTAGATTGTTTTTAAAGTGCAACCTGATAATACAAATATATATTAACTGCATTCTCTTTTGAAAATTTGTAGCGTAATGTTTCTCATTCAACAGTTCTACATATTTTTTCCAAGATCAAAAACCTAATATGCATGTATCTTATTAGGGTTTCAGAAGTGGTTGTCTTATGTCTTGCTCAGAGGTAAGTAATTGTAAACCCTTTAAAAATCTAAAGTATTAATTAATAAAAAATCTTTAATTTTTACTCTAAACATAAACTGCAATATGATTATATTATAAAAATAATGATTTATTGGAAAAGGATAAGATCACAGTCATATTTTTATTTTGATAACATTTTATCTGTATAAAAGAAAAGAAACTGTTACATTCATAATAGTGAAACAAACTGAGCATTCATAGAACTTGTTCAAAATTCAGTAGTACAAGTATAGTGGCATGCCTGGCATTTTTGTTTATACTAGGATCTTTATTCCTAATATAAAGCTTCTGATATTTTTCTTTTATTTAAGGGCCTTCTTTCCTAAAATATTTAAACTGTTAACACGTCCAAGGGCTGTCTTTATGCTACAATTTGTTGAATATTAAAAGTAAGTTCAATCCACAAATTCCCAAAGAGGGTGGTTTTGGACGTATCTTTTCGAGATAATTTCGAGACAAGTTTTCATTCATTAATTGATAAATGTTTGAGTGAAATACAGCATCCTCAAGTCTCCATACCAGCTAGTACGAAGGTCTACCTGCTGGGAGTAAATTCAGTATATATCAATAAAGCCACATTCTCAGCATCATTAGATAAGCAATTGCCAACCTTTTATGCTTCTGCTATCACCTTTTTATGTTTAGTTTTCAATTTAGATACGAAGGATTTCACCTGCGAATTGTTAGGGAAGGTCTATTCATCACGATTGTCAACAGTAGAATGAGTGGACAGGAACACTTTGAAAGCAGCTACAGATATAATATTGCTGTACAATAATCTACCAAGGTTGTTCTAAACAGTTCCGGAATGCTTCTGCATGTCATTTAGAGACTTCCATGCTTCGCGTGCTTGGCCGTTAAGCTCTTGATGTGCTGACCTTACCACGTCAAATCACTTTTCACAGCCCCAATGCTAAAAGAGTGCAGGAAATGCCTTCTTTTTTTTAGCCAATAAACATGTCCAAAAAATTTCAGTTCAAATTAAGAAAAAACCAGTTGGGTAGTTTTTTGTTTATTTTTCAACACAAATGTCCCCCACTGGCTCATGATGGGCCTGTTAAAATCTAATTCATGTTGATTTTTGTTGTGCTCCAAAAAGTACTCAAAAATATCCTGTCTTTTTAAGCCTCGAGGTTATAAAGTAATGAAGCATATACTCTTAACGTGTTTTGTGTATCTTCATGAAATTTTTCAACCTTTTAGTAAACATTACAAGTCTTTTGTAGACAAAAATAAAATAAAAATTCTAATTATTTTTACTAAAACTTTTTTGTGAATATATGGGGTCAGTGTTGACAGCTCTGAGTTAGAGAAGTTTTCTTGTTAAGATTAAAAATACTTTTCTTCATCAGAAAATTTTCAAATTTCACTTACATAATCTCTAAAACCTCCTAAATAAGTATCAAACCTTTCTTCTTTTCTGGAAAACTATAGATTTTATTTTCTCTACCCTAACTGCATATGGGGTCATTCAATCAATTTGACTCATCTCATAACCACCATAAATATTGTGAAGTAAATCTAGATTACCCCTTTTTATTTCTATAATGACTGCAAATTGTAACAGGAAACCACAACTGTTTATCTTAAATACCCTAAAGCTCATAACAGTCCACAAATATTTATTGTTTTATTGCCCTTTGATCCATATTATTATATTTTTCATTATCTCACCCAGTCTAACTTTATTTAACGCAATATTTAAGTGAACATTTTAGTTACTTTTATAATAAAAAAATTAGAAATGAATGCATATAAAAAACAAGAAATATAATTATATTTCCTACTTCTTGAAAGGATGGTAAATAAATTATAAAAGACCTAGAAAGCAAATGCCACAATTCTCATACTAAGAGAGTCTGAGGGTTTGTAAAATATTTTCTTATAAAATTAAGAACTTGAAATTTATATAATATTAAAATTTGATTTATGAACTACATTTTGATGCCAAGTTTATTTGTATAAAATGATGATAAAGTAGTTTAATTAAGTTTTGAATGTAACTAAAAAGTTAAGACATATACACTTTGACCTGCCTGCAGCAAGAGGGTTAATGGCATTAGAACACAAGGAATATGGATCAATTCATGGTCTAGGGCCATCCAGAAAAAGACTTGCAACAAGTCCAACCCAAATTGTGATAAGCAAAGTGTGGCATCTTGTAACAGGTGAGAATCCACAAACTCAAAGGTCATTGACAGAAGCTGTCCACATGACCCAAGCAACAGTACACAACATAATTAAAAAGAATCTCCATTTGAAGAATTGACACAAATAATCTGTGCACAAGTTGCTACCATGACATATCCATTCAACATCAACAGCTGGAGAATGAAAAATTTATATTTATGCTATTCTATATGAAGACATACTGGTCAAGTCACTAGATTCTACACTTATAGATTTCTGTGCTATCACACTGTTGAAACAGATGTTGGAAAAGTAATATGCTTGCATACTTGATGAATTATGGAAGCCAAAAGGGTGGAGTGGTGTGCTTTGGACATAAAAACCTTATGATTGGAGTTTTTGCAATGGAAACTGTACCACAGGGCTACCGTTGACACCTGTAGTATATGAACACAAATATAAAATAGTCAATAATTTCGTGATCGTAATTGTTTTATAAATGAAAGAAAAATATTAGAAGCCTTAAAAATTAAGAACAATAATACTTCTATGAATAAAATGCCAGACACCATTATATTTGTATTGACAAGCCCTGGTGAAGTTCTATGATGATGAATGGTAAAATTGATTCATATTAATTTATAAAACCAGTATGAGTAGCAGCAGTGATTGCCACTTTGTAGAGATGAAACATCATTGTAATAGAAATGTTTCTAATTTACCTATTTGAAGCTGTGTTTTAGAAGTAAAGATATTTTGGTAATTAGTAGATTGTATGCTAGGCAAGGGAAATAAAATTACCTAATTTTCCCTAAGATAGATGTTTAAAAAATTGAATGTTTCTTTTAAGAAAAAACTAATTTTCTTGTAATACTTTACCTTTATTTTAAAATTTAATGAGATAGACTTGCTATATATATTTTATAAATATAATACACCATATGCTATTGTGTTTGTAGTTTATTTTATAGAATTTTGAAGCATTTTCATTTCTTGCTTAATGTTTCTGTCTTAAAGTCGGTCATTCTCATTTTGTGTAAAAAAAATAACTCATTAGTGATCTAGAAGCATTGTTACTTGATTTTAGCCTACTTTAATTCTTAAGTAAAATATGCAAAACATAACCTTTTTCTAGAAATATTCATGACAGCACTGATGAAATTTAACATTTTTAAGAACATTTTGTTATATCAGCATTCATATTTGAATTTTTCATGTACTTCCAGTAATTGCTGTAAATTAGTTGTGTAGTAGTCAAGAGTATGGCAAGATTATGCAATCATTATTTAACTGAACTGAAATGTCATAATAGCTGGAGTTCAGTACTAAGAAATGCATTGTGCCACTGTAATTTAGCATAATCTTCACGCTTTAAGATGCTGGCCAGGTGGTTAGGGCGCTCGACTCACAATCTGCAGGTCGCGGGTTCGAATTCCTGTCCCATCAAACATGCTCGCCCTTTCAACCGGGGGGGGCTATAATGCGATGGTCAATCCCACTATTCGTTGGTAAAAGAGTAGCCCAAGAGTTGGCGGTGAGTGGTGATGACTAGCTGACTTCCCTCTAGTCTTACATTGCTAAATTAGGGACGGCTAGTGCAGATAGCCCTCGTGTAGCTTTGCGCGAAATTCCGAATAAACCACACAAACAATGAACACTTAAGAACACTTTTGCTCATTTAACTTCAGGGAAATGATAAATAAACTTGCTTCTATGTGCAATTCTTTTTTATTATTCACTCTAGTTAGTACTTTAATTTATTTAGCATTTGGTTTTTGCATGCACGTTTTTTTTCAGCTATAAACATCAACTACCGATATTCAAGTACATGAGTATATAAATGTCTTCAATTTAAAACCATTAAAAAAATATATTATAATATTATATATATTAAGCCTACATTTAGGCTTAAAGATACATTTCATTCATCATATGAGTAAACTGAATAACAAAACTTCATATTTGATTTGTAATTAAGATGTTTATTTGTTTATCAACATTTCATTTGATAGTTTAAGAATTCAAAAGCATTCAAAATACCATGAATAATATAATTTTTATATATATTTATTTAAAAAAAACTGGTGAAAATACTAACTGATAAAATAACCAATAACAAATACAATAACAAAATAACCAATACACATGATTTTTGAATAAAAAACTAGAAAATATCAAAAAACGTTCTTAACTAAAAATTCTTCCCTATAAGTATTATAAATGAAAATATTGAGCCTTTCTTTATGAAATAGCTGTCATTCAGATTTATCATTTTTGTTAAGGATGGGGATATTAATGAACGGGATTTGATGATCTTTTTTATGCTAATTTGATATTTGTATGATTACTGTTGAGATAGTTCAAAATTATCTCATGTTCAGCATTTAAAAAAAAATGCAAGTATCATCCACACACCAAATCGTTTACATTAGTGTAAACCATGATAATAAGGATCACACAGGAATTTGCTCAAACTCTAATAGAACATTCAGGCAAAAACCACCTTAAAAAGCACTTATTCCTGAAACAACACTCAAAACTTTCACTTTTCAAAGGTTAAGACCACCCAAACATTGATAATAAGAAAAATTGATGATTTTTATGATTGTTAGACAAAATCATAATTTTCCAATTTGTTCATATTATTATTATTCATATTTTTATTTCACAAGCCTACAGCAAAATCGGGCCAAAACCTAGACGGCTATACTGTGAGTCCCTAGTTGTAGACTTCAAAATATAATCTTTGCATTTTGATTGAACTTATTTCTGTAATTTTTTGACGATCTCTATTCCCCCCTTTTTAAAATAAAATTTTTTACTAATCTTTTGTTAGTGTATTGAAGGACATTCATCAATTTAATGCTTTTTATGGTAGTACGAAAACAAGTTGGGCAGCAATGGGAGGGGTGCTAGTTTTGAACCCATACCTACACCATATACATGATCATACAGAAACTTATCAACTTGCAAAAGGGATTCCTTGGTAGCAAAATTTATGAGTTTTTGAAATATGTGGTGGGAACTCCTCCATACACAATACTCAGTTGAAAATCTGAGGGCCTTTATTTAATGATATTCATCTTTGATCAGTAATTGTTCTTATTATTTTAGTAAGTATGCTTTTAATTTGTCTTCAGAGTTGCAAATGTATTTTGATTACTTAGGATTTCCTTTACTGCATTAGTAGAGTCAATTGTATATAAAATGTTTATATTATTTCCTTTATCTGGTTTTATTGCTATATTTAATTTTTTGCTTGAACCTGTAAACTTATGTTTCCAATAATACTCACCTCCCCTCACACTACAGCTATTACTCACCTGGTAGAGTTTCTTCCTTTGCCCATCTAAGTATTAGTCTGATTTTTTCTTGCTTCTTTCATTCTTTTATTCCCCACTTAATTGCCCTTAGAGATATCTGTCTCGTGACACTCTGTATCTACATCAGTGTGCCCTCTATCTTGGTACTGTATATAAGCACCTCTTTCAGATTATGACATTGTCACTTTTTCTCAACAAAGCATTCTTCGTATTACCTATTTGATTGTGTAAAAAGAAAAAAAAGTATTTGTTTGGCAAGACGATTTACGGCATGAATTCCCAGATTAACGTATCTGGCACTGAGGCAAATCAGGGCTTTCTTTACATTTGGTCTGGTGGTGTTCCTCTCGGGGGGATCTGAGGCTGCACTTGTGGGCAATCCTGGACATTCTGGAGAGAATTTAGATTTGCTTTTTCCAGCACCTTCCTTTACTCTGACAGCTTCTTATGCGGCAAATTTGGATCAGCCGCTTCTGGCTCCTTTTCTTCAGTTGGTACATTGAGCGTGTGATGTTTTGGGTCTTTCCCTGGTTACCTTTGAGTCTGCACCTTCCTTGACGGAAGAAAGGTCTCAGGGTGAGTATTTAGTTTTCCCTTCATCCCCTGATTCCTGCAGAGAGGTTTACTGTTCAGATACTTGAAGGGACAGCTATGCCTTGTCCTCTACATTTATCAGAGCAACATGCTTTAACCTACTGCTGCCAAATGGAAGCATATTTAGACCCTCAATAAATAGACCCACTCCTGTAAATGTGGGATTCCAGAATGGAGTCTGTAGTCAACCTGAATAGATCACAATTTTCTAGGGTTTGTCTGACCATAACTATGATGCTAAGATATTTATCATCTCTACGCTTTTTTTCAAAAACCTCTCAGTGATTTTCACATCAATTTGTTGACAAGTTGGAACCATTGTTAACATCCATCTTGGTTAGATTGTCAGCTTCAGTCTTTTGGTTGGTGTGTTGTCCGTCATCCCTGTCATCATTGGCTTTTCAACTTTCTCGGCTCCTACAGGGGGTCATAGTTCCGCCAAAGGTAAAGAAACCCTAGCATTCAAGTGATGGCTGTAGTGTTACAGGAGGTAAGTATTATTGAAAATACATTTTTGATTTAAGAAGATGCTAATTTAAATATGTTTAATATTTTTAAGACTTCAGTGTGGACAAAGTTCTGTGAAGTGGAATTTCCATTTGCGACAAATAATTTTCTGAAAGACTTCCTGTAAGTGTTAAAATATTTTCCAAAATAAGATACAGAAATGTATATTTTTATGTAAATTGTGTAAAGAAATAAACTTATAACAAAATAAGCTTAGCTTGAATTACTTGATAATTGTTAGGGATATAAAAAGTTAATAGAAAAAAGTAAAGAAAGAGAAACTAAAGTAGTCAATAGTGTATCAGAAATAAATAGTGAAGTTAAAGATAATGTAACAGAACAAAACTTTAATGAACTGGCTGTTGAGGAAGAAGGAACAACAGAATATTTTTTTTATTCATCAGCATCAATGTTTCACTCTATAAAGTTTTTTCATACATATGTTTTTGTATTTCTAATATATTCTTTTAGCCTAAAGTTTGTTGTGGAAACTTCATTGTACACATTGATACTAACCAAGAAATCAGAGTTAGAATTTATACTTAAATTTTATTTGAAATTTTTAACTTGAAAGTGTCTTTTATTTTTTTATTACAAAGATGTTTTTTATCTAATTTTTATTGAACTTTCAGAATTGGTTTTATGCATGCAAACATAACTTTGTAGTCTGGTTTTTGGCTACTTAAAAGACATTTATGAAATGTGTAGTCTGTACAATATTCTCTTCAATACAAGTTTTTTTAATTGTGTAACTTAATTACACAATAATATACTAGGTAATAAAATAGTAAGTATTAGTTTCTTGTTACTTTTAGAACTTTCTTATTTCTCATTCTTAAATAGTCATCAATTGTTTTTAATGTTTTTACTCTCATTAAAAAAATCAATATATTATTTAGTCAAGAGGAACCCTTATAACTTTTTTTTAAATACTAGTCAAACCAATATTAGTCAAATAAATGTTGTAATTGATTAATTTTATAATATTCCAATGTTTAGGGTGAATTTTTATTCTCATGTTGTTTAATTAATTTTAAAAGAATTAATAATTTCTTTCAGAAAAAGAATGTTTAATGAAATCAAGTTATAGAGAATAAAAGTAATAATGTTTGGTGTCGAACTGATCTTTTACTCTGATGAATCAGAACTGATGACCAGTAAGTTTTATATCTACTTTCATTGCTTTGTAGTGGCATCAGATCATGGTCAGGGAAGGTCACTCTCCCCTCTCTATCTCACACACAAATACAGTTTTGGGACCTAGTTTGAAAATTTTTATTTTTGGAATATTGCCAATATCGCTCTTGCAGTTTCATCTTCAAATCTGAGTGAATACCCTGGTTACATCCTACCTTCACTTCAAAGGTGCTGAGATTGTTTGTGAAGCTCTTTTGTTACATTAAGTAATATTCCATCTGCATAGACACGACACCAAACTGTGACAAACAAGACTTACTTTCTTTTATTGTAAGATTTATTAATAAAAATGTAGAATTAATTAATTAATCAATAGGAACGATCAACTGCATAATTTTTTTGAAATGTCTTTCATTTGATAACCTAACATAAGCCTAACCTAACCTGGCCAAGGATATCAAGACTTTTATAATGTGCCTGGCCATTGCACAAGGACCCATTGCAATGAAATGAATTACAAGTTTATTTTCACCTTCTGTGAATAAGAAAGCTAGAATAAGTGAGGAAGTGACCCAAGAACAGGAATTAACGGCATTAGTGACAGTTTCTGTTCCTGGTCCATCTGGTGTCCACGAGCTAACTGACAATGACTGGCCTAGCTGCTGAACTGTCAATAAAAAAAAATGATTTGCAAGTTTGATGATGTCTAAAAATAAATTTACCAGTGAGTTCATTCCATTATCTGGAATAAAGATTTGTACGTACACTATCAAGGTAGATTTTTTTACTCAAAGAAGTTGACTCGTCGATTATCAATGAAATTCTACTTTTTGATTTAGTAACTACATTAATTAGTATTTTTTTCATTTCATCAGTAATGTGATTCACGATGTTAATACATGCATTCGTTGAATGGAGGATATGACCCATGTCAATTCCATTTAGTTCTTGTAAATCTATTTCAGATTCAAAATTATAAAATGATTGGTTTCTTTCGCTATCTTATATTCTGTGCAAAAAATTCTTGTGTTAATCACTTTTTTGGGAGTTAATATTTTCAAACACACATTTTCAATTGTCTCTCTCAGCTTCAGCCAATAATTTTACCATAGCTTTATGTTCCACACCTTTCTTGGGATCAAAAAGTTGTTTTTTTTTTGCAAAGACAGAAGCTGCTGCTGTTGACTTTCACCAAAAGAAGTTATTTCATTGTTGACCCATTCTTTAGAAACTTTCATTCCTGTCTTCGTTTCCACTTCAAAAGTTCCAATTTTATGGCAAGGTGTACAGCCAAGTGTCTTATTTCTAATATTCAACCAATTGCACTTCCTGCAAAAATGTTACTGTAAAAGGAATTTTTGATTTTTTACTCGATTGTCTTCAACCTTATGGAATGAATGAACACTACCTGAAAAGTACAAGTGAAGTTAAGAAACGGATGAAAGAAAAATTTCCTTCTTTAATTGTGTGGCACTTTGCTAATCATACGTTAGAACTGTCAGTCGGTGACACTGTAAAATCAGACTCGGAGTTCAACAGATTTAAAGCATGTATTGATAAACTGTATGTCTTGTATCACATGACGCCTAAAAATAGCAGAGAACTGAAAGTGTGCACAAACTTGCTGGAGATACAACTTTTAAAAATTTGCCAAATTTTAAGCACTTGATGGGTGGTATGTAGTTTTTGGTCAGTTTCAGCTGTTTGGGAAACTATGAAGCATTAGTTCAACATTTCAAAGAAGAGAAGCATGATTCAACAAGAGACAAAAAGAGCAATGTGCATATGAGGGCTTACAGCGAAAACTTACAAGCACAGAATTTCTATTGGATCAAGGATTGATATATATCTATGAATAATGGATTTTTTTTTTAACAAAAAAAACACTGTCTACATATACTTGGTTATCGGTATTGGCAATAAACAGTAATAGGTATTTGAGTGCTAACATGTCTATTACTTCATTGTTGTTATTGTTAATCTTACAGTTATTTAAGCAGATTTGTTCATTGGTGTAAAGAGTCATAAATACTTCATTAAATATTCTTTTTTGCCTCTGTAATTTGATTTTGTTTAAGTTTGAGTAGTATTCATAATTACTTTGTATCTCTCTCAGCTGCTTACAACCTAAAATACAAGTATAGTTTTAGTAAACAGTAACAAAAAGGACTGCATCAGTCATATGCTACAACTAACTTATAATTGAACAGCAGTAATATTCCTGTATTTATAAATTATGGGTGTTAACTTGAAGATTAAAAAAATGTTATAATGACTTTTCTAATAGTCCTAAAAATTACATATTTGTTTTTGAAAACTAAAGATATATGAAATCCTTCTAGAATGTTTTTGATTGATGTAAATGTTTAATTTTAAAATATTTAAAGTGTTTGATTTTATAGAAAAATATTAGATCTTTAAATGTAGTTATAAATATTTAAAGTTGGCAAGACATTTTTAGCCATAGGCCTAATATTATTTCTTTTTTAAATCCCTCAGTTATACATTTATCTCTAATCTTCTAGCCAAGCTAATGAGTTTTGGTTTTAGATGGATGGTCTCTTAGCAGTAATTTGTGGAAAACAAAATATAGATCTGAAATACTGTTTTCACATTTCTTGGATGAAATCCGTAATGGACTGGGAAAGAAGAAAGCAAATAAATCTGTAGTGTAATATGACTTTATGAATACCAGGCATATTTTGTTATTGTAATTTGATTGTGTAAAACATTATTATTGTTATTAAGTCTTTATTATGTTCTTTGAAAATGTTAAAACCTGTTATTTCTGGTTTTGAAAATCGATACACATGGGTCTTCATGAACTGTTTTTCACAGATATTGACTTCTTAAGTTTATGCATATAAAGTAAAATTCTCATGCATAACAAAAACGTTATCAATGCTGTGATGTTTTATATATTAATAGTTTGAAGTTTAATTGAAATTACTTGTTTTGTTGTTTGTTTTCTCAAGTAAATCTCGACTTGGTGGATCTTCATTGTTAGTACTTCCTGTGGAGCTTGTGAGATTAGAAACTCATTTCAGAAAGCCAGTTAAAACTCATAACATCAGAAAACGAAAACAAGATATACTTAGAAATGCTAAAGCAGAGAAAGAAGAAACAGAACATTTTACTTCATCATTTATTCAAAACTGTCAGATCAATGAAAAACGAAAATCACTTACTCTGCTCGAAAAAAAAAAACTTTCCACCAATGATAAGAGAATTACAGAAAAACATGATCTAGAAGAAAATGAGTGGGATTTAAATCATGTTTACACCGAAGGAATAGACATGACTCTGGCAGATTTGGTACTTTTTCCTTGTGTACATATTATTAGGGTGAGTATGCATACATATTGTTAGGGTGATTAATCTGAAGTATTAGGTCTTGTTGTTTAAAAGGAAATGTTTGTGGTTTTTTAACTAAAATAACTTATGGGCTTTTTCAGAGTAATAGATTTAAGTGATTTTTGTAAATATCTGTATGCTAAATTTATACATTTTTTACTTGCTAGTCATTCATTTATTTGTATGTGTTTAATATTAATCTGCTAGAAAACGAATGAATTTAGAAAGAAAGGGTTCACCAGAATATATTACACCTCTCTTTATTATAAGAGTGTAAAGTGGTTGCTTGTGTGACTTTATTAGCTCTATTATTGAGTGAAAGACTTGTTAGAAGTAGCGTGTGAAACATAAGGTTGAAATCTTTTATTCTTCTTACTAGAAGCCCATATAGGGCCAGGATTCATTAAATATTATCAGTACTATTTTGATGTAATTTCACACAAACTATCAATAGATCAAACTTTGCCAGCAAGATACTACATCCTGTAATAAAATATTGAAGATTATCTATAGTATTCACAATAAAAATGTTTTTAACATTGTTATATTTTCCCAAAATCTTTAATTAAATATATTAAGATAAATATATTTAAAAATTAATCTTAGGCCTTTTTTTTTAATGTTTTGAAAATGTTTTTATACTAAATGTGTTCTTAAGTTTGTGATGACTTGAACTAGTGATTATTTATTTTCATAGAATTTACTGAAGACTGAAAACGTCAGGAAAAATTTTCCACTTATAGAAGAGTGGTATAACCGATTACGACACAATAATTGTGTTAACAGAGCTACCGAGATGTCCTTAATGGATAATTCTGGTTTTGAAGATAAGTTCAGTGACATAAAAGAAACATTTCAACTAATTGTTCCTGAGGTTCCAGAGGAAAGCCTGTATTCAAGGTAATAAGACTCTGCTTTTGAACTGACGGACATATAAATAATGGCACAAAAAAAAATGCCTCTTTCAGTTTTAAGTCATTCTTACTTCATACATTCATGTTTGAGAGCTGTAATAAATAGGATGTGTGATAATGGGTCTAAAAGACATGTTTCACTAATCAAAGTGCCATTAAGAAAGGTAGGCCTATTCAGTGGCAACACAACTACTTTATGATCTAGTCACAACTACTGTTCCCTCTAAGCTGTGCGACTGCACAACAACCAATCAAGAAGTGCCATGCACCTCATTATTCCAGCCTCGCACATCCTCGGTAATGGTGAGGAGTCTCAACACATTAATGGTCTTATTGACCCTGGCAGTCAATAGGCCTAAAACCCAAATAACCAACACGTAGCATTGCAAAGCAGCCTAATCATCCAATGAGGTCGATTGTCTAAAAACACAGACACATACCTTTTAAAAAAAACCTGGTATCATACACCTGCACATTGCCTTGATACTGGTGCACATGAAAAAATTCATTTAGCACATGGATTGAAAATGTTAGAGGTAACATTGGTCTGAACTAGTGAGCTTTTACACTAAAAAAGTGGTGGCATGTGGGTATAGATATCTAGAAGGTTATACATCTCTTCCAATATATTTACGATATTTGAGTTGATGTGCTGTTCATAAACCATAATTAACAAGTAGTTCAGTCTATCATCCATTGTAACGAGTCAGTCTTTTTAACTACTCTCATCTTACTGAAGGCTCTTTCATCTTCGTCTGAAATGACCAAAAAATTCATGAAACTTAGCAGGTCTGTGTGTTAGTTCAAGTCTGGTTGCCAAATGAATAGCGAGTAAATACTTAAAAGGTTAGTAATGGCTAACACAATAAATAACTGCAAAGTTATTGTAAATAACAATTTAATGCCTTCTCACTTAAAGCAAATGATACAACTTTTGGTACAATTTGAAGTTTAAATAACGATGAATGTTACCAAGGGATAGTTTTGCTACATCATTTAGTAAAATGTAAAACCTAATTATATCACATGACTCATTTGATTGAGGGTTTGCTTTACCTCCTTCACTTCCCCTACTATGGTGCCACTTGGCCTGAGTTAGAATAATATAACATAATTTTAATTATATTCTCATAACCAATTCATATTAATAGCTGAGTCAAGCCTTTGTTATAGTTACAAGTTATATGAATGATGCAGAATTACTAATTTGATATGGTACACAAATATGAAAGCAGCTGGTCTGGGAAATGTAGCTTTTTTTATAGTGACAAAATAAACTGTGATAGTGATAATTAATATCAATAAAAGATCAATATTATTATATTCTGTACGACAGAAGTGATTGTGGTTGAATACCTAATTATGAAGAATTGATTTAGTTGTTTAAATGATGATGTAGTAGAAATACATATCATTTTTGAATTGTCAGTAATACGAAGAATACTTCATTATATTTAAACAAGAGTGTGTAGCATCAATCAACTGTTA